TGGCTGACAGCATGGATACAGAACTGGACATGTCTCATTGGCTGGTAGCCTGGATACAGAACTGGACATGTCTCATTGGCTGACAGCATGGATACAGAACTGGACATGTCTCATTGGCTGGCAGCCTGGATACAGAACTGGACATGTCTCATTGGCTGGCAGCCTGGATACAGAACTGAACATGTCTCATTGGCTGGCAGCCTGGATACAGAACTGGACATGTCTCATTGGCTAGCAGCCTGGATACAGAACTGGACATGTCTCATTGACTGGCAGCCTGGATACAGAACTGGACATGTCTCATTGGCTGACAGCCTGGATACAGAACTGAACATGTCTCATTGACTGACAGCCTGGATACAGAACTGGACATGTCTCATTGACTGGCAGCCTGGATACAGAACTGGACATGTCTCATTGACTGGCAGCCTGGATACAGAACTGGACATGTCTCATTGACTGGCAGCCTGGATACAGAACTGGACATGTCTCATTGGCTGACAGCCTGGATACAGAACTGAACATGTCTCATTGACTGACAGCCTGGATACAGAACTGGACATGTCTCATTGGTTGGCAGCCTGGATACAGAACTGGACATGTCTCATTGGTTGACAGCCTGGATACAGAACTGAACATGTCTCATTGGCTGACAGCCTGGATACAGAACTGGACATGTCTCATTGGTTGACAGCCTGGATACAGAACTGAACATGTCTCATTGGTTGGCAGCCTGGATACAGAACTGGACATGTCTCATTGACTGGCAGCCTGGATACAGAACTGGACATGTCTCATTGACTGGCAGCCTGGATACAGAACTGGACATGTCTCATTGACTGGCAGCCTGGATACAGAACTGGACATGTCTCATTGGCTGACAGCCTGGATACAAAACTGAACATGTCTCATTGACTGACAGCCTGGATACAGAACTGGACATGTCTCATTGACTGGCAGCCTGGATACAGAACTGGACATGTCTCATTGACTGGCAGCCTGGATACAGAACTGGACATGTCTCATTGACTGGCAGCCTGGATACAGAACTGGACATGTCTCATTGGCTGACAGCCTGGATACAGAACTGAACATGTCTCATTGACTGACAGCCTGGATACAGAACTGGACATGTCTCATTGGTTGGCAGCCTGGATACAGAACTGGACATGTCTCATTGGCTGACAGCCTGGATACAGAACTTAACATGTCTCATTGGCTGGCAGCCTGGATACAGAACTGGACATGTCTCATTGACTGACAGCCTGGATACAGAACTGGACATGTCTCATTGGTTGGCAGCCTGGATACAGAACTGGACATGTCTCATTGACTGACAGCCTGGATACAGAACTGGACATGTCTCATTGGTTGGCAGCCTGGATACAGAACTGGACATGTCTCATTGACTGGCAGCCTGGATACAGAACTGGACATGTCTCATTGGCTGACAGCCTGGATACAGAACTGGACATGTCTCATTGGTTGGCAGCCTGGATACAGAACTGGACATGTCTCATTGGTTGGCAGCCTGGATACAGAACTGAACATGTCTCATTGACTGGCAGCCTGGATACAGAACTGGACATGTCTCATTGGTTGGCAGCCTGGATACAGAACTGGACATGTCTCATTGGTTGGCAGCCTGGATACAGAACTGGACATGTCTCATTGGTTGGCAGCCTGGATACAGAACTGAACATGTCTCATTGGTTGGCAGCCTGGATACAGAACTGGACATGTCTCATTGGCTAGTAGCCTGGATACAGAACTGAACATGTCTCATTGGCTGGCAGCCTGGATACAGAACTGAACATGTCTCATTGGCTAGCAGCATGGATACAGAACTGAACATGTCTCATTGGCTAGTAGCCTGGATAGAGAACTGAACATATCTCATTGGCTGGCAGCATGAATACAGAACTGGACATGTCTCATTGGTTGGCAGCCTGGATACAGAACTGGACATGTCTCATTGGCTGGCAGCCTGGATACAGAACTTAACATGTCTCATTGGCTAGTCGCCTGGATACAGAACTGGACATGTCTCATTGGCTGGCAGCCTGGATACAGAACTTAACATGTCTCATTGGCTAGTCGCCTGGATACAGAACTAAACATGTCTCATTGGCTAGTCGCCTGGATACAGAACTGGACATGTCTCACTGATTGGCAGCCTGGATACAGAACTGGACATGTCTCATTGGCTGGCAGCCTGGATACAGAACTTAACATGTCTCATTGACTGGCAGCATGGATACAGAACTGAACATGTCTCATTGGCTGGCAGCCTGGATACAGAACTGAACATGTCTCATTGGCTAGCAGCATGGATACAGAACTGAACATGTCTCATTGGCTAGTAGCCTGGATACAGAACTGAACATATCTCATTGGCTGGCAGCATGGATACAGAACTGAACATGTCTCATTGGCTAGTCGCCTGGATACAGAACTGGACATGTCTCATTGGTTGGCAGCCTGGATACAGAACTGGACATGTCTCATTGGCTGGCAGCCTGGATACAGAACTTAACATGTCTCATTGACTGGCAGCATGGATACAGAACTGAATATGTCTCATTGGCTGGCAACCTGGATACAGAACTGGACATGTCTCATTGACTGGCAGCATGGATACAGAACTTAACATGTCTCATTGACTGGCAGCATGGATACAGAACTGAATATGTCTCATTGGCTAATAGCCTGGATGCACAATTGGACATGTCTCATTGGCTAGCAGCATTAATAAAGAGCTGTTGTGTGACCATATCTTGGTTTCCAGCCAGTATAGAAGTGAATAGTCTGTCTCTTGACAGAACCGACTTTGACCTTTGGGACGTGTATGTCAGCTTTCTTCTGATAAATGAGGAAATTTGAGAACTACATCACAGACCTTGATTGTCTTGTAGTTGACAACATACAGCAGGATCTGATTGTCTTGTAGTTGACAACATACAGCAGGATCTGATTGTCTTGTAGTTGACAACATACAGCAGGATCTGATTGTCTTGTAGTTGACAACATACAGCAGGATCTGACTGTCTTGTAGTTGGCAACATACAGCAGGATCTGATTGTCTTGTAGTTGACAACATACAGCAGGATCTGATTGTCTTGTAGTTGACAACATACAGCAGGATCTGATTGTCTTGTAGTTGACAACATACAGCAGGATCTGATTGTCTTGTAGTTGACAACATACAGCAGGATCTGATTGTCTTGTAGTTGACAACATACAGCAGGATCTGATTGTCTTGTAGTTGACAACATATAGCAGGATGTGATTGTCTTGAAGTTGACAACATACAGCAGGATGTGATTGTCTTGTAGTTGACAACATACAGCAGGATCTTACTGTCTTGTAGTTGACAACATACAGCAGGATCTGACTGTCTTGTAGTTGGCAACATACAGCAGGATCTTACTGTCTTGTAGTTGGCAACATACAGCAGGATCTGATTGTCTTGTAGTTGACAACATACAGCAGGATCTTACTGTCTTGTAGTTGGCAACATACAGCAGGATCTTACTGTCTTGTAGTTGGCAACATACAGCAGGATCTGACTGTCTTGTAGTTGACAACATACAGCAGGATGTGATTGTCTTGTAGTTGACAACATATAGCAGGATCTGATTGTCTTGTAGTTGGCAACATACAGCAGGATCTGATTGTCTTGTAGTTGACAACATACAGCAGGATGTGATTGTCTTGTAGTTTACAACATACAGCAGGATCTGATTGTCTTGTAGTTGGCAACATACAGCAGGATCTGATTGTCTTGTAGTTGACAACATACAGCAGGATGTGATTGTCTTGTAGTTGACAACATACAGCAGGATGTGATTGTCTTGTAGTTGGCAACATACAGCAGGATCTGATTGTCTTGTAGTTGACAACATACAGCAGGATGTGATTGTCTTGTAGTTGGCAACATACAGCAGGATCTGATTGTCTTGTAGTTGGCAACATACAGCAGGATCTGACTGAGCCAGGCTTGATGCAACAACAGAAAATTTACTGTGCTCCACAAGTAATTGATGCAAGAAACATTGGAATAGGATGCATGCTGTCAGATATTTATGGCCGTACCTCATGCTTTTCTGCATGCTATCAGATATTTCTGGCCGTACCTCGTGTTTTTCTGCATGCTGTCAGATAATTATGGCTTTTTAATAACAATAATGTGATGATAATTTTATTATTGCTTTGAATAACATTAACCTTTGATGATGTTTTATTGCTGTCAGCTTGACAATATTTATGTTAAGTGTGAAACCCATAAATAGTTTTCATTGGGATGTTTGAGTTCATGTTGATAAGTAAATGTTAAATTTTTTTTTTATTGAAACATATCATTTATAATGAGGGGTGTAAGATCAAGAAAGCATTCCAGTCTCACTTTGATGAACATCATTCAATAGATAAATAGCCAGTTGTTACAACAATTGTAGTTATAACAGTTGTAATTTGTTGTATTATGATATTACTTAGATTAACATTAAGTTTGTTGTATTGGTATAAATTTCCAGTTTGGAGATTATCATAGGTCATTTTGTGTCAATTATTATACCTGATTGTCTAATAATTTAATTAAAAGGAACTTGGTGAGCTTATTCCAAATAGTGATTAGTAATGTGAAGTAACACTTTTGTTTATATTTCTCTTCCACATTAGATTAACATAAGGATTATGAGATTAACATAAGAATAAATGAATTTAAATATTTTAAAGTTAAAGAAACTAACACAGCTGATTCTGTGTTGAAATCTGAGTGATCAGTCTAACATACCTGTAGTGATATTTAACTGTGTTTGTTGATAATAGTTTGGAGTGACCTCTGTTAACTTGTCCTCTTCTTGCTTTGAATGCTGGCTGTTGTGAGACCCAGCTCTGCCTTTCTCTCTTTATTTCTGCCTCTTCTGTCATTTCAGTTTGTTTGTTTGCTTGTATGGTTGACGCCATGTTTGTTTCTTTCACTAATATCATCCCGCTAGGTGGGTCGCAGCAAGAGCATGAGGGCAGCCATTCAGACGGAGAAATGTGGGGCCTGTGACAAAACTGTATATGCAATGGAGCGGCTAGAGCTGAACAAACGAGTGTACCACAAGGCCTGTTTTAGGTGTACTCAATGCAAGGCTGTTTTAACGTAAGGACACTTCCCTCCCCTCAATCCCTAAACCTTTTTTATCTGTTTTGCAGTTAGCAGTCTATAAGCAGAGTTAGCAGTCTATAGCACATCTAGCAGAGCTAGCAGTCTATAGCAGAGTTAGCAGAGTTAGCAGTCTGTAGCAGAGTTAGCAGTGTATAGCAGAGTTAGCATTCTATAGCAGAGTTAGCAGTCTATAGAAGAGTTAGCAGTCTATATCAGAGCTAGCAGTCTATAGCAGAGCTAGCAGTCTATAGCAGAGCTAGCAGTCTATAGCAGAGCTAGCAGTCTATAGCAGAGCTAGCAGTCTATAGCAGAGCTAGCAGTCTATAGCAGAGCTAGCAGTCTATAGCAGAGCTATTCAAGTCGGTGTTACTCAGAGGCCAACATGTTGGAAATGATGTTTATCACAGGCCACGGGCCCAAGCCCCAGCAAACAAAGATCACAATAATACAGTACTGCTGGCTGATATGTGGGCTGCTGGCTGTTATGTGGGCTGCTGGCTGATATGTGGGCTGCTGGCTGATATGTGGGCTGCTGGCTGATATGTGGGCTGCTGGCTGATATGTGGGCTGCTGGCTAGGTCTCTGCGGCCAAATTCAGCCCGTGGGCTGCTTGCTAGGTCTCTGCGGGCTGCACTCAGCCCGTGGGTTGCTTACTAGGTCTCTGCGGGCCGCACCCAACCCATGGGCTGCTAGTTGAATAGGCCTGATCTATAGCATAACAATCTTGCCTGTGGTTTCTGCCCTGCCAGACAAAGTCATGACATCAGCAGACATGGTGAGGTGTGCTCATTTTAAAGTTACAAGATGTTGCATTTCCTCCATTGTTTAGCCCAACTCTCAGTATTGATTTATTACCTAATATTAATTCATTTTCTCATTTTTTAATTTTCTTCCAGTTTGCAGTCAGTGTTCTTCAAACATTTGCGACATTCTCCCAAGTTTTTTAATTGCCCAAACATTATTTCATTTCCTCATCATTCACTCATATTCCCAACATTCAGTCATCCCCCAACATTCAGTCATCACCCCCAACATTCAGTCATCACCCCCAACATTCAGTCATCACCCCCAACATTCAGTCATCACCCCCAACATTCAGTCATCACCCCCAACATTCAGCCATCACCCCCAACATTCAGTCATGCCCCCTCTCCCCGCCCCCTTGCAAACATTCTTTCATTTGAACAGCATTTGCTCACCATGATAGAGGTGGTGATGGTGAGATTTAAGATGATGTTTGTTACACTTTTGTTGTGGAATTAACAAATGTGTGTAGCTGAAATAAAACCATAGAAAGGTCATTCTGTCCTCAAGGATAGACAGAGACAACGTCTGCAAGACTACACCCACACGTAGAAGAGGAAAGACCAGACATGTCCTCAAGATGTCATTTCCCCATGTCAAAAAGGGAAAGACATACTAAGTTAATAATATGTCTGAATATCTTAACTGAATTGTTTTATATCATCCCTCTTTATCTATCAAATACCTTTAAGTAATATTATTGAAGAGAAGTAGTCTACAAACAGACATGTTATATAACCTTTTCCCCTGCGTCCTGACTCTGGATTGTTTTATATCATCCCTCTTTATCTATCAAATACCTTCAAGTAATATTACTGAAGAGAAGAAGTCTACAAACAGACATGTTATATAACCTTTTCCCCTGCGTCCTGACTCTGGATTGGTCTTCCATTGTCTTAGGTGAGCATTACTTATTCCCTATCCTGGTTGAATCAGTCTTCCTGTATCCTTGCTGCACCATCCTTATTCTGGTTTTGAACCAGTCTTCTATTGTCCAGATATAATAGGTAACCCCCCTATCCTGATTGCATCAGTCTTCTATTGTCCAGATATAATAGGTAATCCCCTATCCTAATTGCATCAGTCTTCTATTGTCCAGATATAATAGGTAACCCCCTATCCTAATTGCATCAGTCTTCCATTACCTTGATAGTGCAAGAAGCTTGAACCAGTGATCTGTTTACTATTGATGCCAGTTTTGTTCTGTGTGTAGAGAGTTTGTTCTAACTGTTGGATGAGGAAGAGAAATGTTAACACAGCTCAGTCTCATGAAATGGGACACATCTGATACAGTACAGTCTTGATCCACCTAGATGATTTGTTAAATGTCTGTTGTTTCAGAATGTATTTATGTTTACTATTGTTTTTTGTTTTTTTGGAATTATATGAGTAGATTATTTGTATCATTTCAATATTTATTTATGTAAATTTAATATTCCACTTATTGGTGATTTTAACTTGTTGATGGATGCAACATTTGCACCCTTTTTTCTTTCATTTGTACGCACTTTTTGCATGCTCCAGCCAGGTGTCAGTCTATCTATCTATGTTTTCCTATTGATTAACAGTTACACCACTGTTGCACCATCTGATAACTGCTGTAGTTCTTTGCTCAAAGCTCATTAACTGTCTCCCCATTGTAACCTTGTTAATCCTTGACTATATGGCATGCAATTAATCATTCTCTAGTGTGGGTATGGTGGCAACATGTAATGCATGGCTGGTACTGTTGTAGTTGTGCTTTGTCTTTGTGAATATATTCCCTGTTCTCCCCAGCTGTACATGGCATTGTCTCACTTATGTTGCCTGCCACATCCAGGAAATGTGGAATTAATGCCCTTGTTGCTATGAGTCCAGGGAGACAATGATGATGGCAGATTTTACAGTTATCTTCCTTGCATCGGTGTAGAAACTCACCAGACCAGTTCACCAACATTACAAATTATTTAGAAACATATTCAATTGTCTTTATCTGGAGCCTATGGTCAAATCCTGTATCACATCCTCTGTGCTGACTTACAGATTGATAGTATATGTTGAGGCTGGTCTCTACTACGATATAAAGATATGTTTGAGTGGGATATGGATGAAACAGGAATTGAGGTGGATTCAAAGAAACAGAATGCCAAGGACCTGGATGCAGGAAGGATGAAACTCAGGAAGGGAATAGTGATAAATAAGAAAACTATTGCAGACCGGTAAAGAGCTGATCATCTGAGACGAAGCCAACGAAATAGATGCACTGGCAACAAAAGTCTTGAAATTCAACATTTTAATTGTGGAAGATTGGTCTGAATGCAAGTGGGTCTTGCTGGTCATACTCATCATCGCCATCGGCCGTGGTGTCCACACCTCCTTAGTTTCGTCGCCCAGCTTCTGAGTTGAGTGCATGGCGTGACACTGTGAGCTGCGTTTGTTTTTCGTTGGCACAGGAGCGGAGCATATGTGGGGTGACCCGTTTGCTATGAAGCTGAAACTAGGATTACCAGATTACCACACCTCCCTTTGGCACGCATCAGTGAATCAATCAGGAAGTGACCTCACTGAACTTGCAACATTCCCCCATGCTCTCTAACCCCTTCCTCAGTAGCTAAAGAAGGGTGCAAAATTGCCCAGACCTTCTTCCCACTCCCAGATGAATCATTCTCTCCAGATCTGGAGGCCGTTTTTATTCTACTGCCCTGTTCACTTGATCGCAAAGAGTTTCACCCTGTCAAACTGGATCATTCTCTCCAGATCTGGAGGCTGTTTTTATTCTACTGGATTGTTTACTTGATCCCAAAGAGCTTCACCCTATAAGAGCTGTATCGTAAACTAGCTTATCACCCAGAGTTGTAGCAGCAACTTATCTATCAGACTGCTCATGACCACATACATCCGAATGTCCTGGGCAAAAAACATCACACTATGTTTCTTATCTGAGTCTTACCATGATACTAGTTTCTGTTTTCTGAAACAGTCTCTGCGAGTCAGTTACAGCATGTTGGACTTGACTATTCTATAGTTACTGCCTCCACCTCAATTCTCATGCTAGAAGTTGGGACATTATGCCTGAGGATTTTTTCAAAACAACTTCCATCCTTTGTAATTAAACCTCATCCACTCATTTCTGCGTCTCACTACAGATTCATGTAGATATATATTGATAGCACTGGATCCTGAATTGTCCTTGATCAGATCTTGCTCTCATGCTTCTGATCCCCCAGCCTTATATTTCTGACAGCCTCGGTCCCATGGCACAATTAAATGCCACCTCTGGAAGCACAAAAAGAGACCAGGATATAAGCAGTGTCCAAGAGTATGGTTCAGACTGTTGCTGTGAGAACATCTTCTCATCCACTGCCTGATTTTATCTACTGACCTCGGCTTAGTCCTGCATCAGTCATCCTGCAGATGTGCTTGTAACGTTAAGTGAGGTTGTTTATATCAACCTGAATGTGGAAGAAAGCATGTTCATGAACAGCATGAACGTCTTGGAAACTGAAATAGTTTGGCCATATTAAACATTGCAGTAAATGTAAGACTTGGTTCGTAGAATGAACGGGAAAATGGGAGAGACAGAGGTTGACCAATATGGCAGTGTACAAGGGACATTAGAGTCATTCATGTTACATAGGAACTGGCAGTGGACCGGGAATATTTCTATTGCCGTGATGGTCTGCACAGAAACTGCTACATGATGATGGTGGTGATTAATGTTTGTGTGGTCAAGAAATCTGAGACATGTCTGATCTCCTCCTGAAGGTCGTGAACTCTGGCAGACATATGTCTGATCTCCTCCTGAAGGTCGTGAACTCTGGCAGAGTATGTCTGATCTCCTCCTGAAGGTCGTGAACTCTGGCAGAGTATGTCTGATCTCCTCCTGAAGGTCGTGAACTCTGGCAGACGTAGCTCTAAGAGCTGTTGTCCTGCTGTAGGCTGCCTCCAGTGGTTCTGAAATTGTCTACTCTGGGACACAGTGGAGACATGTTCTCTCACACATATACAATTTGTTAAACCACAGAAAATACTGTAAAGCATGAAAAAAATGCACATGTGCCCCCACTCTGTTCTCAGTGTTCAATGCAGTAGTCTCCCAGTGTGGCATGACGTGTTGAAGATTATACACAAGATATCAGTAAAATGTAAATAAATACATTTTGGCATGCATTTAAAAAACACAAAATCTCAGCATCTCTGATTGTCCATATAATTTCCCCAGCCTTTCCTTAGCTACATTGAGGCAACATGCCAGACAGTTTTGGAATCACCAGAGCTCACTAGTTATATCTACATTATAAGTTGCTTCATCGATATGCCCTCCAGATTATGTGGTTTCTTACTTGCCCTTGAGAGAGTCATCACTGAAACCGAATCTCTTGGTTACTTAGTGTCTCATGAATCCATTCAAGACTTGACACTGTCTAGTGGGGTGACACAAGGCAGAGAATTTGATCTCCCAGCAAAATATACATTGGTGTGATGACAGCGGAAGGCAAGGTCACCGCCAGTAACCATGTTGCAGACCTAATAGGAAATTGAATCGGTGTCTGCAGAGTCGCCATTATGGAGGGCAGATGATACATCTGACATTGTCTGCATTTGAGTTGGATCACAGGTCGATGTGGCTTTGAGTTGGATCACAGGTCGATGTGGCTTTGAGTTAGATCACAGGTTGATGTGGCTTTGAGTTAGATCACAGGTCGATGTGGCTTTGAGTTAGATCACAGGTTGATGTGGCTTTGAGTTGGATCACAGGTTGATGTGGCTTTGAGTTGGATCACAGGTCGATGTGGCTTTGAGTTGGATCACAGGTCGATGTGGCTTTGAGTTAGATCACAGGTTGATGTGGCTTTGAGTTGGTCAAGAGACCAGTCTCACATGTATTGATGGACATTTATAGGTGGATGCATTCATTAATGGTTTGGTTCTGTTAGTTGAATTGGTCCTCAAATCTCATCAGCTGAGTTGGTTCACAGCCCATCTGGCATGTATTTGGTGAAAGAAGTAAAATCTTCACCAGCTCAGTAGAAGGAACTAGCCTTAGACATGCAGGAGTTGTTGTGTCCTCAACTCCTCATTATGAGGGTGAGAGTTGATTTACAGCACTAAGGATGTTCCCATAGGTGCCCCATACTCATCTTCAGCAGCCAATGAAGAGTTATAGTTCTAATGGTGACAGTGGCATTTTGATTATACGTCCATCTTGCCTTTTCTCTGATTGTAAAGTGTTGCCCACATTCCCTGGTCATTCTCTCCAAAACACAATGATTTATTCATGCTCACTTGCTCCCAAAGGACTTGAACGCCTCTAGCTTGTAATGCATAAATTCACCTCTATCTTAAAATTGCCAACCATATTTCTATATTATCTGCCCCTTTCTTGAAAGTTCAAAAAATAATTTATATTATCTGAACCTTCTTTTGAAGTTCCACTAGTAAAATATATCATCCTGCAACTTCTTTAAAATTTTCAACAGTTACCCATTTTATCTGCCCTTACTTGCAAGTGCCAACAATAAACAAAGTTATCTGCTCTTTTCTTGAAAGTTCTACCTATAAACTATATTACCTGCCCCTGCCTTTAAAGTTCCACCAATAAACTGTATTATCTGTCCCTGTCTTTAAACTTCCACCAATGAACTACATATCTACCCCTGCTTTGAAAATGTCACCAATAAACTTTATTATCTGCTCCTGCCTTGAAAATTCTACCAAAAAACTTATCTGCCATTGCCTTGAAAGTTTCACCAGTAACTGATATTATTTGCCCCTGCCTTTAAAGTTTCACCAATAAACTGTATTTTCTGCCCCTGCCTTGAACGTTTCACCAATAAACTGTATTATCTGCCCCTGCCTGAAACTTCACCAGTAAACTGTATTATCTGCCCCTGCCTGAAACTTCACCAGTAAACTGTATTATCTGCCCCTGCCTTGAAAGTTCCACCTATAAAATATATTATTTGCCCTTGCCTTGAAAATGTCACCAATAAACTTTATTATCTGCCTCTGTCTTGAAAGTTTCACCAGTAAACTGTTATCTTTCCTATCTTGAAAGTTCTACCAATCAACGGTTATCTGTCACTGCCTTGAAAGTTCCATCACACCTGACTTTTCTGACCATGGGATGAAGTATTTTGTTTACTCTGACTCATCTTATTGATTGCATCATAAAGAACTGATTCAGCAATTTAGACATTCATGATCATCATTAATTGTGTTTTCATCTGATTGTAACCAATTGTCTTTTCTGCACCACAGGCCAAAAACATTCGCTATTAACAACGAGGTTATCTTCTGCACCACTCACTACAAGCAACTGTTTGCCACCAAGGGGAACTACGATGAGGGATTTGGGCGCACACAGCACAAGAAGAGATGGAGCAGCAACCCCAACCTGACCAAGGATGGAGACGACGACAGCACATCCTAGGTCCTCACAACATTCTATATTGTGTTCTAGTTCATTATCTTTCTTTTTTTTTAGTGTTTTGTACATGAATATTTGTATATTTATAGAGTTGCATATTGTTGAGAACAACAGTAATGTACAATGGAAAGTGCCAACAACAGTGTACAGTCAGATATTATTGACAACAACAACAGTGTATAACTGACAAGAATAAAGTTGTATTCCGTACCAAAGCCAGGAAGGCAAGTTGAGAGATTATTGAATGTTCCACTTTGTAGCTGGTAGGGAACTCATTGTTGAACCAAGATGAGGCACTGGAATCATTGGTATAACTGCATGCACAGCCCTCTCATCCATGCTTGTTTGTCTAGGGGCTAGGCTTGAGTGGGGCTAGGCTTGAGTGGGGCTAGGCTTGAGTGGGGCTAGACTTGAGTGGAGCTAGACTTGAGTGGAGCTAGGCTTGAGTGGAGCTAGACTTGAGTGGGGCTAGGCTTGAGTGGGGCTAGGCTTGAGTGGAGCTAGGCTTGAGTGGAGCTAGGCTTGAGTGGAGCTAGGCTTGAGTGGAGCTAGGCTTGAGTGGGGCTAGGCTTGAGTGGAGCTAGGCTTGAGTGGAGCTAGGCTTGAGTGGAGCTAGGCTTGAGTGGAGCTAGGCTTGAGTGGAGCTAGACTTGAGTGGGGCTAGGCTTGAGTGGGGCTAGGCTTGAGTGGGTCTGGTTGCTGAGAGGATTCAGTCATGTGTATTGTTAATCTCATTTCTCCCTAAGATGTGTTGTTTTATCTAGTTATATCTGTATCAAACACTTTCTGCTAGTTCTAGCTCTAGGAATGCCAATGTCCACACACACACACAGGCTACCTGTCACACCTGTACAGTTACACTCTGTCATTTGTTACAGTTTCAAACATTTACTCCTGCACTGCTGCAAAGGACATTTCATTTTATCTCAGAAAACATGAATCCACTTTCCAGACTTCCAGAGAGAGCCACACACACACAGATTTGGGAACCCCGATTGACAAGGCAACCAGTTAAAACATCACTTGCCAGCTAACCACTCATGGGAACATGTCCATTTGCTTGTGCATCTATTACACATTCCCTCTGGTGCCTCTGTTTGTAGTTTAGGGAACTTCTTAATCATGAAACTCTAATTCTCCTCCAGTGCTCAGTCCACCTCAAATCTTGCCTTTCTTATTTTTATAACTTTGTATTCTTATAGAACCTGTTTTGTATATCAGTTTTTACTTTTGAAAATTCCATTATTTACATTTCTGTGCTAGCTACAGACTATATTGTCTTCTGTCACTTCGGTTATGTACAGTTGGTGCTAGCTACATACAGAGTTAATGCCTGTCAGTGACAGATGAGTCTTGAAGCCAGCTGTCACAGATGAGTCTTGAAGCCAGCTGTCACAGATGAGTCTTGAAGCCAGCTGTCACAGATGAGTCTTGAAGCCAGCTGTCACAGATGAGTCTTGAAGCCAGCTGTCACAGATGACATTGGACAATGAGAAGATCATATAATACTTGTGTTTACTTTCACATCCTGGGTCAGCAGTATATTCTGGACATATAGCTTCAGACATGTAATTGTCCATTGACTCAGCTTCAGACATGTAATTGTCCATTGACGCAGCTTCAGACATGTAATTGTCCATTGACTCAGCTTCAGACATGTAATTGTCCATTGACTCAGCTTCAGACATGTAATTGTCTATTGACTCAGCTTCAGACATGTAATTGTCCATTGACTCAGCTTCAGACATGTAATTGTCCATTGACTCAGCTTCAGACATGTAATTGTCCATTGACTCAGCTTCAGACATGTAAATGTCCATTGACTCAGCTTCAGACATGTAAAGAGACAACAGACTTTGTGGGAGTGAGTCTGTAGATCCAGTGTCCTCAATGTTGTTCCATTAAACATTATCTCTTATCAGCAAGGCTGTTCCATGGAACATGTCCAGAATCAGCAAGGTTGTCCTATGGAACATGACTTGTATGAGACCATTCACCAACAAATTGTATTGTGTCAGACTAACAGTACTGTGTTTGTTCTGACATCTTATGGTATCAACAGTTGTACCCCACACTAGCAGACACAATGATAGCACTGTTTCTACTCTGATATCTCACATTGTCAACTGTTTTACCACCACACACATTGTCAACTGTTTTACCACCGCACTAGTAAACACACTGATGTTGACATAATAGCACTGCCACTATCTGTCATGGACCAAGTCTAGTTCAAACACCCCTTCTCTCCCTTTATCATTGTTGTTGCTAGGATAAGTTTATTTGATGTGTTTTAATTCACTGAACAATTTCCCATCATCCATTTGTGTATCTTCGTTGTAGCTAGTTGCCATCATGAACAGCTAAAACAGCCAGTCAGTGGTCCTGTCTCCCTTAGTCATTGGTCAGCTGATGGTCAGATGGCTGTTCTGTAACCTGTGGGATGGGTCGGGTTGTGTGTAGTCATCAACCATGTTTACAACTATTGTAATCACACTTGTATTTGTCATAATTAAACATGTTAGTCCATCATTTGTTTGGTTTTTGTTCTTTGAGTTAATCAGACTTATTTGTATCATGTAGTTAGTGCATTCTTCCTTGGGGTGTATCATGTAGTTAGTTCATTCTTCCTTGGGGGAAACTCATAGATGTTTGAAATATTAACAAGGATATGGCAGGGATAACTTCTGTCAGATTCTCTCTGTCTGTAAACTGGATAATGAAGGCAGTAACTGCCTGCAGAAGAAGAATTCAGTGGGCCAGACAGAGCAGCTTGCTTATCTGAACCTCACTGATGCATGATCCTCCTGTCCCACGTGCAAGATAAGTTACACTTAGAGGTTGCAGCGATTAAGTTATAACAATTTAAAAATGGAAATAATGAGAATAAATGTAGCAAAAATTAATCTCATGGTCCTCAGTGAAACCACACCTTCAGAGGTGGTTCTGTACCCATAGGTAAGCACAACTGGCAGTAACACCACACCTCCAGAGGTGGTTCTGTACCCATAGGTAAGTACAACTAGCTGTAAAACACCACACCTCCAGAGGTGGTTCTGTACCCATAGGTAAGCACAACTGGCTGTAAGAGAAGTTTAAAAATAACTATACAGAAAGCAAGACCAGCTTTCACAGCACAAGAGAATAAGTAGAAATCAAATGAAACAACCTAGAACTAAACGGTTCTTGTAAATGGATCAGAAACATGGAGAAAGACCAAAACAGTTCTTATAAATAGATCAGAAATGCGGAGAAAGACCAAAACAGTTAAGATGAACTACATTCTTTCATCAGCTAATACCTGCACAGACGAGAGGAAATAACATGGATTGACAGAATCATTTATTTGATTGAAACGAAACAAATTCCTGACAATCAGAAGATGATAAATAGACACAGACATTGGATAGAGCATCCATTGAGAAAACCAATTAATATCTTGATAAGAAAGTCCTTTTTTAACACACAAGAGAAAAGACAGAGAGAGGAACCTCAACAGTATGGAGAAGATCATTAGAATTTGAGATGAGCATGGAATTAGCTGTGGATGACAGACAAGCATAGGAAGGCTTGATGTGACCTAGTTGAAGACCTGTACTGCATCTGGTGATAGAAGAAGAGAGAAGATGTTAGAAACAAATACTAGAGAGTTTAAATAAAGCTGGATCTTTACATATTGTATATGTTAATGTCTCAAAACTACTTGTCACCAACAGTTGTGTATCAATTGATATTTCACATCTACGTACACCTAAATCTTATGTAGGTTTCTGTTTACTTATCACCACAATTATTGTGTAGATTCTTGTTCAAAATCTACTTATCAACATAAATATTGTGCAGGCATTTCAAATCTACTCTTCACTAAATATTTTGTGCAGATTGATACTGGCTTTTTCTTTCTGTACATACCATGTAAATATTTTATTTTACAGCAGATGGATTTTGTGTAAGAATAAAAATAATTACTTGTTTGTAATTTGTCTTTTTTAACAAAAGCACAGTTAATTAAAAGATTAAAAGATGTTCTAGTTGAGCCCTAGAACATATTCAACAGTTGAAGATCGGGGATTGTGGCAAACAATGCCAGGGAACTTGACAACTTTTGCAGGGAACTCAATGGTAATTCCAGGGAACCCGGAGTTCTGTTATCTCACTGACTGCTCAGTTATCTCACTGACAATACAGTTATCTCACTGTCAGGTTTAGTTGTCTCACTGACAGTTTAGTTATCTCACTGATAGTACAGTTATCTCATTGACAGTTCAGTTATCTTACTGACTGTTCAGTTATCTCCCTGACAGTTATCTCAAGGTAAGTTCAGTTATCTGTAACAGTTCAGTTATCTCACTGAAAGTTGAGCTATCTTACTGACAGTTGAGTTATCTTACTGACAGTTGAGTTATCTCACTGACAGTTCATTTATTTCTCTGATACTTGAGTTGTGTCAGTGATAGTTCTGGTACCCCTGTGCTAGCTCCATGCAAATCTGTGAAGGACTTAGTCTGAGTGACAGAGACTGGGATTTTGTCAACCTAATGATGTTTCATCCCCACATTCTGAGATTGCTAACAAGTTGAGTTGAATCTCCCAGTTGAGGTGCCAGAGTAACTCACAACGATTGTTTGAAAGAAGCTAATGAAAGTAGATCTCTATATACAATAATAAGAAAGAGACAAAAGCCACTGTTCTTTGGCCACAAAATGAGAAGAGAGCCATTGAAGAACATCGTGACAACTGGAATGATAATTGGAAAAAAGGGGTAGACGCAGACCAAGAGAGATGATGCTGGATGGGCTGAAACGATGGCATGGAGGGATATCATCAAGAGAGCTGTTCCAGGCAACAAGGGATAGTGATCTGTGGAGATGCATGAGTGCCTACGCAGGGCACATGATGATGAACAAGTTGAGATTCATGAAGTATCACCATCACCACTGTAAAGAATGTTGTATCCCACTGACCACAGGTCCTGTGTGGGTCATTCAATCAGCTCAGAATTTGTTTATTGTCCATTTCCAAGACTGTGTATATTGGTCAGATGTTACCAGGCTTCAGGGCTCTGTCACTTCAAGAGTTATCAACTTCACTTCTGCACGTTAAATGTCTGCCAGAAATATTTCCACCGTATTATCTGTTATATTTGACAGATGTTTGATTATATGTTGCAAAACCTGAACCATTCATACTTTATATGTTGAAAAAACTGAACCATTCGTACTGTATATGCTTTACTGATTCTTTGTGAGGGGTAAATATACTTTTGAGAAAATGTGGTCCTCGTACATATTTGGCTTTTTTTTTTTTCTAAAATAATGCCGAAAAGGGGAAGGAATGCAATCATGTGGATACTGAGAAGTGACTGAGTGAAGTTAAACCTGGCTAGACTGAGCAATTAACACCTGGCGACCCAAAGTGTCACTGTTCACATGAGAATCCCCCATGTACAAATCCCAGAAATTCTTATCAACCATACGGTTATACTGGGGTGGTCAACAGCTAAAACATAACATGAAGTCCAGACAGAGTCAGGCGGTATGAAGCTGTCAAGAATCTGAGAAATGACTGAACACAACACAAACTACGATCTGGGAGCTGAGCAAAGGGAAAGTACTGAGGTAGAACTAAATCCTCTGACCAGAGTCTTTATCAATGAAGGAAATGACAAGAATCCTACACCACAGCAGTGAATAGGAAGTAAATATTACACACAACACACCCCCCCCCCCCCCCCCCCCCCCCCCCCCCCCCCCCCCCCCCCCCAAAGTAACTTGTGTTGACAAATGAAACATGAATAAAGGAGTGAGAAAAAATGTGAATGAAATAATTTCTTTAACCCATTTGTCCAGAGATATTTATAACTAGACATTGTGTCTACTGCAGATCTATATAAAGGCTATAAACTTTCTTTGCTGCATTGACCAGCCTTTTAGGTCTAGTTTACGGTATTGGTTTTGTTTGAGCCTGTGCAGTGTTTAGAAGAACTCAATATGATTGCATTTACTTTTTAAAAAAATGGTTGAGTGATGACTGTGACAGATAGTTTTTTTTTTTGTTTTTGTTGGGGGGGGGGTCCATTGTATTCCATCATTTGCTTTCAGCCTTTGGCAATTGCCTATCCACTTGAATTATGGTAGGAGTCCTGTAAATGTTTGTTTAGGCCCAAGGGAAGGTAATAATTTAATTCTCCATTCTGGTCATTTGTTTTAATTCATTTTTTTTTTTTAATGTGTGTATATAGATTATTGTTTACAAATTTATTAGTGACCTGTGTCAAAGGATTTTGTTTAAAGAATTTGGGAAGTGGGGGGGGGGGGGGGGGGGGGAAGAATTTCTGGGTTATGGCCATTTTCTCCAAGGTTTTCTCGAGCTAAATGGTTAACGACTTTTTTTTTAGATTAAGGAATTCTGAATTCTGATCATTCTGAGAAAACAAGAGGTTTGGTACAGTGCTGTCTGAGAAAACAAGAGAGTTGGTACAGTGCTGTTTGAGAAAACAAGAGGTTTGGTACAGCTCTGTCTGAGAAAACAAGAGGTTTGGTACAGTGCTGTCTGGGGAAACAAGAGGTTTGATACAGCGCTGTTTATGAAAACAAGAGGTTTGGTACAGCACTGTCTGAGAAAACAAGAGGTTTGGTACAGTCCTGTCTGAGAAAACAAGAGGTTTGGTACAGCACTGTCTGAGAAAACAAGAGGTTTGGTACAGTGCTGTCTGGGG